GGGATGGTGGCACCTTTCTCACCTCAGTTTCTCCCTTTCCTTGCAGGCTCCAGCTGAAGGCGAGGCAAAGGAGGAGGTAGGAGCTGCTGCTTCAGCGCTGATCCCCAATTCTTCAATAATTACATGATTTCACATAAATTAGGAGGCTCCCGCACCTCATATGGGGTCTGTGGCCCTCCCCGCACAGGCTCAGGGTGCCCTTGGCCCATCACCTGAGGTGGGCACTGGGTGTCTCAGCCACTGAGCCAAAAGCCATCGGTTCCAAGTGGGAACGTGCCCCCTTTAGCCCTACAGACAACGGTTCGGTGGCACAACCTTCACGTCAGTAAAGAAAAGTAAAGAAAAGAAGTAAATACATGTTATCACCACCTCATTGGGGTAAAAAAGGAGCAGCACGGAATGAGAACGATCAAACAAAGCTGCACTTTTGGGAAATCATCACCATAATGCCCCTAATTTCATAAATCCCCAGATTCTTACAGGGCTTCCTGACGTAGTGTAGCTGCCGTGTTGTTGTGGGCTGCAGTTTCTGGGGAAGCACTGCTTTATATGCTCTCTGAATTTCAGTGACACATTTTTCTTTACGCAGCCAAAGAGAAGGTCGGCTAGACTATCTGCTGTAAGTATCTTTATTTACTCTTTTAATATGACATCACGCAGGATGCTGAGCTCTAGGGGACCTTATAGAAAAAACTATTTGTTTTTTTTCCCCACGGGCATTGTGAAAGCCATGGTTAGAATATTGCAATATTGCTGCTAGACCTGGAGCAGCTAGAACAAGTCCAGAGGAGGCCACCAGGATGATGCGAGGGCTGGAGCAGCTCTGCTGTGAGGACAGGCTGGGAGAGTTGGGGCTGTTCAGCCTGGAGAAGAGAAGATTCCGGGGAGATCTTATAGTGGCCTCCCAGTACCTGAAGGGGCTACAAGAAAGCTGGGGAGGGACTTTTCATAAGGGCAGTTAATGACAAAACAAGGGGAAATGGGTTTAAGCTGAAAGAAGGGAGGTTTAGATGAGATATTAGGAAGAAGTTCTTCACTGTGAGGGTGGTCAGACATTGGAACAGGTTGGCCAAGGAAGCTGTGGCTGCTCCTCCCTGGGAGTGTTCCCAGGTTGGATGAGGCTTTGAGCAACCTGGTCTAGTGGAAGGTGTCCCTGCTGCTGGCAGGGGGGTTGGAACTGGATGATCTTTAAGGTCCCTTCCAATCCAAACCATTCTATGATTCTATAATATTTAAAAATAAAGTTCCTATTCTACATTTCCAATCCTCAAGTATCAACACATTACAGGCTCACTTTTAGACATTTCACATGAGATACAACATCTGCGTTAATTAACATTCAGTCTGGACACATGAGTATCCAGAGTCAAGAGAATATTGATTTCAAGATGCATTTGTTTTCTGTAGGTCTTTTCCATACAGATACCTCCTCATACCTCTATAAATTACCTGCCCTCTTCTTACACTTGTAATTTGCCCATTGATCTTGCAGGTTGGGTAAACTGAGACTTAGAGGCTGTAAATCTATGTCATGCAGTAGGGTTCATCCCAAAGTCACAGCCTTAAACAGGCTCTTGGCATCCTTAGTGCACACAGCCCTTTTTAAAGCCATCTTGGAAATTCCAAGTGGGTAACAGCTGCTATTTAAAAACAAAAATACTTATTTTCAGTGAAAGCTAAGATGTGTATCCATACACAGAGTTATGTCCAAGTGTTAATACCTTTCATTTTTAACAGCCTCTTGCCTTCACAGCAGACAGCAAACACCCAAATGCAGTAATGATCCACTTGCTACTGCTCTCAGCATCTGTACCACACACGAGGGTTTGGATAACACCGAAACACACTGATCTGCCTCTGACATTTATTCCTTTATCTTACAGAATAAAACAGACAGCTGTGGACTATTTTTTGTTCGAATAGTTTTCAAAAGTTGCCAACATACTGCTAAAACATGTATAGCATTCATCTGACTCTCTTTCTTATGTATGTTTTATACAGAAACCTGCTCCGCCTAAACCGGAGCCAAAGCCCAAAAAGGCAGCACCTAAGGTAAGTGTTCAAGATCCCCTGAACTGAGGTTATGCTTTCCTTTCTCATGGTGTTTATAGGAGGGAAAAAAAACATCCACAACTAACCATTTTCCTTATTTTCTTTAGAGATTTAAGATTGAATTGTGTGAGTTAAAAGAATGTGAGAAATGTAAAGATAATTTTATCCAGTTTCTAGCGAAGGAATGTGGTAAACTGAACAGATTTTCAATCAGTTGTGGTGAAGCTTTACTGCTTGCCTTGCAAGGCCCTTCTGAAGTTTCATATAATGCATTGTTGGGAAAACGATGCTTTGAATAGAGATCAGAGACTCAATTAGAGAAGGCACTGAAAATCATGCTTTTAATTACAGCTTCTTGCTATGTTTTCATTCAAAGGCATTCTTTTTAGTTATCAATTTGTCAAATTTTAGGCACTGGAGGTAAAGTTCTGCATACCCATTTACTTAAGCTGGATGTTTCTGGAAATGTCAAAAATATTGGCATATCTGAGAGTGTAGTTAAAAAATAAACCATTTAAAGCTCCTTTGTGCTTTGGAGCAACAGTTTGAAATTTAAAAGGGGACAGTTCTGCAATCCATAAGGTATCTCTTTAAACCCCCTTCCTGTCCCAAACTTCCCCAGCCATCAGTTTGCAGTTCTTTTTTTAGATCTACCTGTCAATATTCTGATTACATTAGGATTTTGCAGATAGGAAGAAAAACAAAACAAACCAATGAAACTTTAGTGTTGTTTTTAAGCTGTTCCCATCATTTTCCACTGTGGTTTTGGATGGTCATGTGGGCAGAGGTGTGAGAGATGCTTTAGTTACTGAAGGGGCTGACAGGCTGGGAACCAGGAGCTCTTTTCTATACATTTAAAAGGCCTTGAAATTCCACATGGCACAGCAGACTTCCAGGTGATGAAAACTTTTCTGCTTCCGAGTTCTCTGTGGAGCAGCAGAAGGAAATGGACAAGAAGGAGAACGTCACTTGTCATTCTGGAGACCCCATATCTCAGCTCTGTAATCTCAGCGGTGTGCAGAGCAAATGTTTCACATCTTGGTGGTGCAGCTGGATTTCCAGATCCCATTCCAGAGTGGCAGGGGAACCAGGGAACCCGCCTGCAATCCACATTCCTGTGGTGTCAGCCACACTCTGGATTGCATCTCCCTGTAGTGGCTGGTCCCCCTGGGAAGAGGGGACCCCACTGCTGGTGGCAGAGAGCTGGCTTGGGGACCTCCAAGTCCTGGCTTCAGCCTCTGCTGATGACCCACGCAGAGGTCAGTGCAGTTGCATACGATGCACGTTGTTGGTATTCTCTTTTTTACTTTTTCAAGTAATTTCAAGAATCTTTCAAGATTCTTTTTTTTAATTTATTTTTATGGAAACATCTCGGGGTTTATACACAAAAACTGCACTAACAGAATCTTAAAAGTTGTGAAAATTAAGCATTAAAAAGTTAAGACTTGTAAGTGACTCTGGGATGATTTAGTTCTGCTGGAAGTGGTGCCTTTATCATTGCCCTGCACACTGCTCCCCAGTTAGACTTGGAAAGTTTTGGTCTTCTTCTAAAGTGCTGGTTTGAAGCCAGAATATTTGAGTTGCATTTTTCATTCTAGAGCTCCTAATACTGGATCAATATCTGTGCAAAGAGGGATGCAATAATAAGAATTACGCAGGGATCTTTAATTCTTGTTTCCCCCCAACTGCTTGACTCTGCAGCTTTCAGGTTCTTTGAGTGTTTTTACGTGTGTCAGAGTAGATTCCACCTTTTCAACTTAGTCATATTGAAAACCAGAGAGCTGAGAAAAAAAGGTTTGGTCACTTTATAAAACATAGGACTTTATTACTGAATCGATGGTACTATCTGTATAGAGAAATTATTGAGGAAAATGAATACAATGGTATGAGCTCAGAACTGGTGGAGAAGGTGGGAGAAGCTTGGAAGTTGAAAAATAACAGGATCTCCTTGGGTATTTCTTTTCCTGTGGAAAAGGGAGCTTGATCCCATACAGAGTAGCTGTTAACTTGTCCCCAGAAGTCACACACGTCTTGCAGAACAGAGCAGGGATCCTCACTCAGCTGTGAGACACTTTCTCTCTGGTCACAGTCCAGCCATGGAATCCAACCACACCGTTTCTGTGGATTCTCCTCAAATCCTTCCTTAAGAGGGACTTTACCAGCAAAGAGTGGGCTACAGAGGATGACAGTGTTAGCTCTGCTAATACTTGGTTGTCTTTTCTTCATGGGGTAAGGGAACAGATGCCCTTCTTCACACAACCCCAAGTCTTTAAAAATCCTTTATGGAAGAGCAAGTGACTAACAACCAACCTGTGCTCGTGAGTTCAGAGCATACTGGTGCTGCTGGAGGAACCTTTCACAGTGGGCCACTTCTGTGTGCTTCAAAGGTCTGGTGAAGTGACAGAGAGCAAACCAGGGCCACAGTGGTATTACAGTTCTGAATCTTACTGCCAAGCAGGACCAGAATCCTTGGGTGCTGATACTGCTGTGATATTCAGCTTCCTTCTGCCTCTCTTGAAAGCTGAAGGACTGTTCAGCCAACGGAGGGGAAAAAGAGTGAGTGGAGGCATACGCTTCTCTTTCCTTCTCTGGTGACTCTTTTCCTTGTCTCAGAAAGAGCTGCTACCTCTGTCTGATGAGTGAGTCCCCAGAGAGGAGGAGAGGCTTGTTGAGAGTGGGCACAGCCAGCAGTCAGGGACTTCTCACACCAGGATGTTGTGGTAGTTTCCCAGGTGGGTTGACATCCCTCAGCAAGGTCAGACTGGGCAGTGGGAGGTGAGAGAGGAAAGAGAGAGGCCCTCACTTGTTTGGGTGCTGCTAACCTCTGGTCTTAAATTCTCTGCATTATTAATAGGATTTAGTATTCATTTTAGTGAATTTTTAATCATCAGTATCATTGAAGAATCAGGTGACTTTGCTCCTTATACTCTGAGTTTACCCTTAGCAAGCATCTCATTTATAATGTGAATTCACTTTGTACACTAATAAGCGAGGTGTTGAAATAAGAAAGTAAACTTTTTGTAACTTCTAGTCACTGAGACAACTTCATCTTCTGAGTAGGTATAATTTATTATTCCCCCCCCCCCAGTAATTACCTGTTTATCTTCACTTACCTGTGAGTAGTGATTTTGCAGATATTTCTGGTTCCTTTGTTGGAACTAGGTTAATCAAGCGAGGAACTAAGCTCGTTTGCTTATTGGCAGCAAGAGGCAGATCCTCCAACGTGAAACTAATGAGAATCGTGCTTGTTACTGGATTGGAGTCAGGATCTGACCTTGCCGTGTAGAAAACTGTTACTACAGAAGTTGTAGCATCACATTTTGTTCCGATTTAGCCTGATCCACGTATAAGAATCTGCACTTAAATCATAAATGCAAAGTTCTTGTTGTTATGGAGCCCCCAACTCGTCTGTCACACAACTGGTTATTATAATAAGGAATATTTTTGGCAGGAAAGGGGGAAAATCCTTTGATTACAGCTTTGTTACAGTTTTCTAAATAGGCATTAATAGCACATCTGAAGTCTTCTGGTATTTCCACTGGTTGTACATGTTCTTTTTGTTCTGTGCTGTGCCTTTCAGCAGCGCAGCAGAAATACAGGCCAGTTCAACTCCAACATTTTTTAGCTAATTTAATTGAATGCCTATTTAAAATAGGAATTCTTTTAGCCCCAGCCATGGCTGCTTTTATATTATGCACTTCCCAGTAGCACATTCAGGACGGAACAGAAGGAAAACACTTCTCCTTAGAAACTTCCATCTCATCTTTGCCAATAGGAAGTTCAGCGTGCAGAAGCAGGTTGTGTGGATGGTTTTAGAGCTGAGAATGTCTGACTGCAGATGTCCGAGGTGGAAATTAGCATTTACCATACCATAATCTCGTTTTCTTAACAGAAAGAAAAGGCAGCAAATGATAAAAAGGAGGACAAAAAGGCGGCAACAAAAGGGAAGAAAGGAGCCAAAGGCAAAGATGAAACTAAACAAGAGGATGCTAAAGAAGAAAACCACTCTGAAAATGGAGATACCAAAACCAATGAGGTACTTTAGCTACAGTCAACACGGGAGTGCACACAGATGTGTTGCTAATACATCTGCAGGAGCTGAGCATTGGGCCTCCTTGTCAGAAGGGGCTGTGTGTTTCACTGCCAACCTGTAAAGACAGACCAGCTGCAGTTATCTGCACAGGGCAACTTGCAGGGAGAGGCTGAAAGAATAAAATTCTCCTTCAGACTTATCCCTGCTGTGAGATAGAGCCATTCCACAGGTGGTCTGTGCTGTCGTAGGGTCCCGCTCAGGGCTGGCACGAGAGCAACGCTGAATGTTTGGGGAACAATAGAGCTCAGTAAGATTGCTCTCCAACCCTGAGCGGACTTTGCATATCCTCTCTGGACTGCTGGATTGCCTCTTCTGCTCAGCACGGGTTGGGATTGGGCCAGAAATCTGGTTTTCAGTTTTATACAATTCTTGAAAACAATTCTTCGCCTCAGAACAATTCAACGAGAGATCTGCAAAGTAAACTTGGTCTTGTCTCTCGATCCACGAGCTTCTTTCTTACAGGTTCTTACTCTATCAGCTCCTTACCTAAGAGCTGCCACTTGCTAGGAGTAGCTACAAGCTTCAGTCAGCTCCTGGTGGCCTTTTCCTAGCAGATTTCCTCCTGGTAGTAGAAACACAAGGTTTGCAGCAGGCTCCCTTTGCCCCTGTAGGCACAGATTGTGTTCTACGTTGCTTTTGATTGTCAGGGATCTCTCTTCATGTGTTCAGTATCATTATCCACTTAATGGCTCCTTTATTCTTTCATTTTTAAAACTAATTCAGGAGCTTCTTTGCTAAAAATTAATATGGGGCTGATGTACTTCAAAGAAGCTTTGATAGGAGCTTTGCAATTTTGATGTGTTGGCTTAAAAAATAATAGCTGATATTTTCAGAGAAAACAGGTGAGAACCAATTTCCCCAAGTTTGGACAACAGACAAGTGTCGTGGTTTTTACATGTAATTCTTACACTTCCCTGTGACTTAGGAGATGAGGACTTGAACTTTCCCTGGCATATGATTGATCCTAATCTCAAACACCTTCTAACCTTCTGCCTCTTTGGAGGCACTTAACATTCCCAAATTAACTCAATTCTCAATTAACACTCATCTGTGCTTTTAATTTTAAGAATTATCCACCGACATGTCGTTGTGTTGATATTTTTTGTAGTAGCTGTGCTTTCTTGTCCATCTCCACAAAACCTTGTCCGTGTGTGTGCTAACAAACTTGTCTCTCTCTGATACTTGTTAGAATGGAATCCAATTAGCATTATGAATAATATTTTTATTCTTCCCAAACACTTTTATAGGCACCAGCTGCTGAAGCATCTGATGATAAGGAAGCCAAGTCCGAGTAACGTTAACCCTGCCCTATATCTCCATCATTTGGTATCCGTACCTCCATGCTGTATTGTTAACAGAGAGGAATATTTTTATCAACTATTTTATAAATGCAGGTTTTTTTAGCATGAATTTAATTATGGAACATCTTCATCTCGGTTACTTGGGAATTAAATCCCTAACAAAACAAAAAAACACAAAAAAACAAAACAAAACAAAAAAAAAATCATTGTTTTTAAATTTTGTGATTGTAATAGTTTGTATGGTACATGGAAAGAATAAGTGGTGGTAGCTTTTGACTTCTGTCAGTGTGTCCCTTTTTGTGTAAGTCATGCTTACAGACTTCAGATTTTAATTTTCTTTTCCCCCTTGTATGTGTTGTATGGTTTCTTAAAGTGGGGAGGTCTCAAAACAAATAACCGTGTTAAACATTCCAGTGGTTCTGTGGGTTTTGCTTTTATAAAGAAGGTGAGCTATTTTCATGAAAAAAAAAAAACCTAAGAGCTGGAAATCTGTTGTTTCCCAAATGTAATTTTATTTTGTCAGTTTTGAAAAAAAAAAAAAAGAGAAAAAAAAGAATAAAGAATAAATAAAAGTGTAATCATGTTTTTAAATGAAATACAAACATTTCTTTTCAAAGGGCAGGTTGGTTGTATGTACCCACTGTTAGGAATTTTGCTGGATTTATCTTAATAAAAAAGACTCCTCAAAAGCTGATTGTGGTTTGTTGCTTGTGCTGGTGCTGGAAGCTCCTGAGATCCAGAAGAGCTGCTGTGGTACAGGGCTTGGGGCTGAGAGAACCTGGGCAGCTCGGAGGCTTCGGGCTTGAGCCCGTGTTTCCTTCAGCTCTGTAAGAAAAACTGACCTCTCAGTGGATTATTCCAGTGCCACCTTCCACCACCTGGGAACTTCTGAGGTGTTCAGGAGTTTTCAGATGAATCCTGACCTCGTCAACTCTGCTGCTGACTCAGGTAAAGCCGGGAGAGTTGGTGTTGTCCAGTTCACCTCAAGTATTGTAGGTGTTGTTATAAATTCTGGAGAGTGTTGTCTGGTGTCCTTTCATGTGTCCATTAATCGATTAGGATTTAGAGAGGGGTTCTTTCTCTTAGAAATATTGCAGAAGCTTGGAGACTACCACATTTCCATCACACCCATAACAGTATAAAATAATCTGCTGTTAAAAATAATCCTGGTTTAAGTGACTGCTTCCATAACTGCTGTTGATAATTTTATTCTCTAAACATGTACTACTCTGTCTCTCTGTTTCCTTGCACTCAGCTCTCCTGGCCTGATCTCACCGATGGGCACAGAAGTGCTTCATGATTCTAGGAAATGACAGTTGAACTAAACAGCAGCGAAACGGGCGTTTGCTGTTGGGTTTATCTCACCTCATTTTTGTTGCTCCAGCTATTTTATGCAACTTTTATCAAGGACACTTCAAATTTTCCTCTTAAAACCTCCTTTTATCGAAAGTCACTTCACACTGATGACCAAATACATTTTATATTGAATAAGAAAAGTGGCTGCAATGCAGAAACCTTATCTTTGGCATTAAATTGTTTCGCAGCTCAGAAATGTGAAATTCCAAGAGCCTGGATATTTTATCTCCCATCCAAACTCGAACTCGGCCTTCTCGGTGCGTGGTGTCGTGTATTAAATACGTGTTTCAGGATCAGTACCCCAGGGCACTGGCTACTGGATGATGTTTAATGTGGGTTTAATTTTCAAGGCCCAAAGCAGTGGGGATTTTTATTCCTGCTTCATCCACCACCCTTCATTCAGGGTCACCTGAGCTGGACCTTCCTCAGCACTAAAGGTGAGAGAGTGTTGAAGGGCCTGGGTAATGAATGGCTTGAGGCGAGCCACCCTCACAGTGAAGAACTTCTTCCTAATATCTCATCTAAACCTCCCCTCTTTCAGTTTAAACCCATTTCCCCTTGTTTTGTCATTAACTGCCCTTATGAAAAGTCCTTCCCCAGCTTTCTTGTAGCCCCTTCAGGTACTGGGAGGTGCTATAAGATCTCCCTGGAGCCTTCTCTTCTCCAGGCTGAACAGCCCCAACTGTCTCAGCCTGTCCTCACAGCAGAGCTGCTCCAGCCCTCGCATCATCCTGGTGGCCTCCTCTGGACTTGTTCCAGCTGCTCCAGGTCTCTCTTGTGTTGGGGGCTCCAGAACTGGATGCAGTATTCCAGGTGGGACCTTACAAGAGCGGAGTTTGGTTTCTCCATTGGAACACGGAGGTTGTCACACAGAAACATGCCGTGGAGGGTTTGGTTTTGTTTATTTCTTCCTCTTCCAGTGCCAAGGCGAGAGTTGTTCTTAATTCTCTGACTATTGTTACAATCAGATCCCTGTTTCCAATGAGTACAGAAGATTGCTTAAGGACTTTGCAGACAAACCTCCTCGCTCAAATTCGGAATTTTTCTGAGCAGTGGGGTATTGAGGGAGTTGCACAACTCAATAGATTTCCTGCCTTCTGCCAAAGCCTCCTCATCTCTTGGTCCTCATGTCTAGACACGGAATCGAAGGCTAGCTCCACAGCAGCTCACAAGCTCTGCTGAGGTTATGGCTGTCCAAAAAGCCAAGGTTTTCTCGGGAGAAAACTGTTTCACTGAGCAGTCAGTTGGGTGTCCCTGCTTCAGGTGGAGCGTATGGAGAAGCTGTCTTCACTGAGATCCTTGGCTGGTTCTCCAGCAGTGCTCCTGGTAGAATCATAGAATCATGGAATGGTTTGGGTGGGAAGGGACCTTAAAGCTCATCCAGTTCCAATCCCCCTGCCAGCAGCAGGGACACCTTCCACTAGACCAGGTTGCTCAAAGCCTCATCCAGCCTGGCCGAGAACACTTCCAGGGAGGAGCAACCACAGCTTCTCTGGGCAACCTGGGACACTGTCTCACCACCCTCACACCAAAGAATTTCTTCCTCACATATTTTCTTAATCTCCTTTCTTCCAGTTTGAAGCCATCACCCCTTGTTCTGTCACTCCCTGCCTTTGTAAAAAGCGTTCGAGCAGAACACATTGGCCTGTCCTGCTGCTGATTATGGAAGATCCATGGAATGGTGAGGCAGGCACAACTGACTCTGGGACTTTGATTATCACTATTAATAATAACAATTCTGAACCGTAAAAGATGCACCGCGGTGGATGGATTAATGAGTCTGAAGATAGTGATTGTTCCCAGGTGGTATAATGATGTTTTTAGCTGGGGGAAGAGATTTAAAGTGAGGTTGGCAACAAGTTGCAGTGGTGAGATGCCCGTGTAGCTCATCAGCAGTTGGACGAGATACATGTATGACTGTTGACTTGGATTTCACAGCAAAACTTGGTGAAAGGAGACGATGACGCTGGTGATAATGATTTAGATATTGTCATTTGAGGTATTTAGATATTGTCATTTGAGGTATTTAGATATTGTCATTTGAGGTAGTTGGACAAACTTCACATCCTGCTTAACAAGCCGACAGTGAGCTCTACCCACGCTGTGACCTGTCAAGCAGGAACCCTACAAATCATCAAATGTTCCAGGCAAAGCAAAGCACTGGGTCAAGGTGAGCACAGTCTGTGGGGACGTCCTGCTCTGCTAAGTCATGTTGGGCCCAGATGTTGTGGTGTCGAGAGGTTTGGGTGGGAATCAGCATCTGGAGCCATGTTACCCTGTCTGAAGAGAAGCACTGTCAGTATCCAGTTGCAGAGTCACCGTTAATGGAGTGAGATGACAGTGGACAACAACCCCATTTTAATGCAGCTCCAGAGGGATCATGTTGGTGCTTCAGCTCCATCTTATCCCTAAGGAGGTTCGTCATCACGATTTTCTTTGGTGGCACTCATTAGACAAAGCCTGGTTTTGTCATTCTTGCCAGGCTTGATGCATCAACATCACTCATGATAGAACTTTGGGTGCAGGCTCCTAGTGCAGCGTGTGGCTGAGGATGGATGAAAGTTGAAGAGAAAGTCTTGAGACTTCCCATGTTCTTGTAGGAACTTCAACAGAACTTGGGCAAACCTTTGGTGATTGCTTTGTCAGAATAGTGAAAGGCTTTGAAAAATACTGCTTGCCATCCTGGAAAGTGAGGTTTGAAATGAGAGGAAGCATCTCTAGACTTCATCCTGGTGTCCTCCATCATCAGCAACGTGCTGGAGCAGCACAGGGGGAGGAAGGGGAGAGGAAAAGCGTGGATGCATCAGCAAGTGGAAAAAGAAAATCAGAGTGAGGTCCTTGGGGTTAGGGGAAAAAGAAAAAAAAAGAAAGAAAAAGAGTAAATTATGTGTTTAAAATGGGGGAAAGAAAAAAAACCCCTGACCCCCTAAACCATGTCCAAGGAAGGATTTGTAGGTACATCACATGTCCATCCACCTTGGCTCCTTCGAATGAAGCCAGTGCACGCAAAAGCCAGAAAATCCAGTGGATCTGATTTTCAGATCAAGAGCAACTTCCCTGGCAGTTAATGGAGTTCCACTGGTGTTAATCTGATGAAGCAGGAAGAAAATTGAATCCCCTGAACAGAAACGGATGGTTCTTCTTTCTAATTGTCCCAGTGGTGATGTTCCTTCCCCATGCAGCTGGCGTGGGAGCTCCAGCTCTGAAACCTGATGCTCTGGATGGGCTCCAGAGAGCCGAGAACATCCCTCAGGCCCCGGCGCTCCGTGGCTTTCGAGGAGCCTCTCTCATTTTGAGAGAACAATGTTAACGTGGCTTCTGGCCAGAGACCATCCCAGTGCCCGAAGGAGAGGGGAAGTGGTCACAAGCCAGCATGGAGGTGGGTGACAGAAGTCGTTGGTGGCTCATTGGGCCACCATCCCCTTAAGCTTTTGAAGGAGTGTGACTAGGATTGGACTTGGAGTGACTCAAGGGTTTGGAGAGAGGACCACTGTGCTGCTCCCACACCCTTCATCTGCCCCAATTTCGCTGCCAATGCCACTGGAAGAGGACAGCAAGGAGCTGGTGGGAGAGGATCTCAGAGGAATCATCATCTCTGCTGAGGAGGGAAAGGCTGGAGTTGCCTCTCCAAGCCTCGAGAGCCCAGGCCAAAGGAAATCCTGCAGGACCTGCCTTCCCCTAAAGCCACCTCCTAGAAATCTTTCTGAAATGTGTAAATCTAGGCTGAGCTTTCCCTGCTCCATCCTGTTCTCGACCAGTTATGTTAGAGGGTGTGGAGTCTCCATCTCTCTGGAGATGTTCAAAACCCACCTGGACACTTTCCTGTGCGACCTGCTGTAGGGAACCTACTCTGGCAGGGGGGTTGGACTGGATGATCTCCTTCCAACCCTCACCATTCTGTGATGCTGTGATATCAACATAGCTCTTGGGAACTGCTCCAAAGTTGTCAACTGGAAAGATGGACGTGATGGCCAAATGCATCAGTGTGGGCTTCAGAAGGACCTGACACCTGAAAGCAGTGAGCTGAAGTACGTGCTTGTGCCATGTACAAGGAACAGAGTCGCTATTAAATTAAAAAGCTCTGTTTCTAAAAGAGTGGAAATCAAATTGACACCATGAAGTCCTCAGAGGCGTGTTAATACAATTGGCCACATCTTAAACACTTCCAGACGTTCTTAAAAAAAAGGGGGGGGTGGTGGTGGGGAAGGAGCATAAATAGCACAGGCAAAAAATGCTGTATTGAAACCTAAAAATAGAGGGGTCAAGATTTAAACCAGGTTCATCTTGCTGGAAATAGGAAATTCATCTCTCCCTTCGTTCTACTCCTTGGCCAGA